GAAAAATAAGACAATGTGGGAAGGGGAAATGAAAGTATAGTGCAAGAAGTATGCTTTGGTGAACACCTGATGTGTTGGTAACTGTGGGGTAAGGAATAGTCCTGATTCCTATTTCCTGACTGCTGAGTATAACTACTCCCTCCACAACTGACTCAAGCTACTAGCTCCGGATGAAATTCACACATTAATCCTCACATCTACCCAGCACTAAGCTCTTTGCAAGGTCTTAAGATTACAGTTGCCTTGGTTTATGAGAAAGGAGCTTATGGTCAAAGACACACATATTAAAATCTAGAGCAACTACTAATAACAACAATGATAAATAGCCTCAATGATTATAATAATAAAAGAAAGAGCCATAAACTGATCAGCCAATATTCGAGATAAAATGTTATCCAAAGCTAGGTAGGAAAGTTTAATTAATCTAAACTAAAATAGGGAATGAAAAAAATAGGAAGAAAAGAAAATAAAAATAGGTGAGTAAGTAGAAATTGGAATGAGTAGTTGACAAGATAAAGTAGCAAGTCTAAATTCCAAAGACCTGGTCCAACAGTGGTGTCTTGAAATGTATTTCTTCACAAAGAAAAAATTGTGAAGTTTATGAACAAATACTGTATTAGTTTTTTGCCAGCTCTGTTCAAAAAATTTAGCAACTTTCTTTACAATCAATTCCAGGCATAGAATGGGAGTAAGAAATAACATAAAGCAAAAATGGATGCTAATATGTAGCAGAGCTGTGGGTTTTATCCTTAACATAAAACAAAACTAAATTATTAAAGGGCTAGATTGTGCAGAAGAGAATTACGCCATGCCAAATGAATCAGATGACTCATAGAATTTCTTATTCCAGTGCTGGAAACTCATCCTCCGATGATATTTTCAACACTTTATGAACTTACTATCAACTGACTTTAAAATAAGGTGTAAAAATATGCAAAATTTGTATAATCGACAGAAGACAAACGTACCATTATTTTCCAAAATATGTCATTCAAATCTTAAGTATCCCTGAGGGATTGAAAGCGTTCATCTTCATCTGCGTCACCATTTCTGACATGACTCTGGGGCACAATCACTCTGGGGATTTTACTGTGTCTGGAACATACATAAATTTTTGTTGTAACATTAAACTCACATCATCACAGTTCTGAGATTATTATACACACATTCAAGATAAAGAGACTGAAAAATAAGTCTTGGGAAATTAGGCAGTAAGTGTAGGGCACCAGTTGATTGAGTCTAGCACCACGCCTGTGCTTTCATCATAGCAGAGCACTTACCTACAGGGAGCCAATGCACATTACACAGCCTGGACTAATTCGTAATTCCTCTGCTGTTTCTTAAGGATCAACTGTACTTACTTTTCTGCTCTGGTTATTACATTCCCCCACGCCAAAGAGCTCCTAGTTCTGTTTAAATGTTTCTAGTTACTGACATGTTAAAATAAGCTCATTCTAAATAAGATTTTATTCACTATGTTTAAACCTTAAGGATCACAAAGCACCCGTAAAAGTTCAGTTGCACTTTGGTATTAACATTCTAAAAACTTGCTAGCAGAGGAAATTAAATTTGAGAAAAAAATTGTATAAAACTTAAATTGCATTTTTCCTTGGTTGAAGAATTAAATTAGCTTTGCTGTTTACAGATATTCTGTCCCTGATATTGGTGATAAGTATTTTGAGAGGTAAAGGAAAGGCATGAAAATTTAGTAATTATTTTTCAGAGCTTAAAAAATTGAAATTTTTAAACCTGACTTTCACATGTGTATTTATTTCATAAATTTATGATGTGAAAATTTAAAGAATACTGTATTTCATGGTGGGAGCATCATATACTCTGTTCAAATCACAAAGTCAAATATTTTTATTAAATCTAACAGGACACATGAATCTCATTTCATAGATGGTGACTTCCTGTTTTAATGAATTTAAAACTGCATTAGAGCAATTCTCTGCATCCACCATACACCGTGAACAGCAGCGAAGATCACTAGACGGGGAAGTAGAAGTCACACTCACAGGTTTTGGGGGGACCCAGTCAGGCAAATGTATCCCAGTTAGCCCGCTGTGATTTTCACCAATGACAGTCATGGGTGATAGACAGAACAGGGACACAGAACAACCAAAAATTTGTGTCTGCCCACAAATGTGCCTCAAAAACACACATGCCTGCCACTCTCTATCTTAATGTAAGTTCTCCTAAAGATGCTAAGATTATTTTTTCCTTCAGTTATTAATCCCACTCTTGTCTGATAGACTCAGGAAAACAGAATCTCTGCAACTGTCAGACATAAGTTGGACAAGGATACAAAGGTAGAAAATTCTCATGATGAGAGGAGGGAGTGTTCCCTCTGTGGTTGGATACTCTGCAGGGTGGTGGCTTCAGCCACAACCTACTGTTACTGTAAAAGATATGGTAATCAGAGGAGCACAAGCTTCTCAATGTTTGGTCCATTTTCTCAGTACGTTGAAATATCAATTTCTGTCAGAAAATGCATCCTGCTCTTTTGCAGGAACCAAGTTTTGCTTTAACGTGATAAGGATCATACCTTGGAAAATATCAATCATTCTCTAAAATGCAGTATTTGCATGATGTTCAGCTACCACAAATAGATTTCAAATGCTTCTGTTCATTTGTGTATTAATAAGTACTCTTAGTGATGTGATTTCTTCAGAAGGAATATTTACTCATGACACATTAAAGCTTTTCCCCATGTATTCTGCATGATAATTTTAGGTGGCTGAAAGAATTGCAATTGAAAACGGCCTAGAAGTTCACAAAAATTTAATGCATTGAAATTAAGATTGGACGGGATCCCTGTGACTTGATAAGCATTAATATGAAATTAAAAATTGGAAATAAAAGTAAATTAGATTGTTATTAAATCACCAAATAATAGGTAACTCTTTTGTAAATTATGAAAATATGCTCTAATAAACACATTTAATCAACATACAATGCAGTAAATCACTATGTAAAGAAAATTTATTTGTTGATGAATGACACAAGGGACACTAGTCTTATGAAATAGATTTGATCTGGAAAATTCCTCCTGACTATTGCCTCTGCTATGTAAACTTTGCAGAATAAGATTAATCATGTGTTCATGATGACATTATTGTGAAAAATAAAAAGATTACAATCAGCCTTATACAATCTTAGCAAATACATTATTTTGTATTATTATGTTATTTTTTAAAATTTATTTTAAATTGATAAATGAAAACATAAAATATGTGCATAACACTAATATACCTTCTAATGCTTTGATACATGCACACACTGAGTAATTGCTCTTAATAATGGCATATAATGTAATGCTTTAATACATGTAGATGTGTTCAGAGCAGCTCAGCCTCATCTGTCTTGTCAAACATTTTCTTTCTGTGTAGTGAACACTTTCAATATGGTTTCTACTGAATTTTTACATATACATTACACTAGTTGTATCTAAAACCATCACACTGCACACTAGAGTTTACTCATTCCTAATTGTAAATTAATACCCATGAATCACCTTCCCCCAATCAGTCCCTTGCATCCTAAAAGCCCAAGCACTGGTACCTGGTATCTCATCCCTAAGTCTTTATGAAATCCACTGTTTCTAACCCACTCATGAAACCTATAATCAGTAAATATTTTTCTGTGCTTGACTTACTTATCTATATAAGTTTCAGTTCCATTTGTTTGTCACACATTATGGAATTTCATTCTTTTATGCCTGAGGAGCCTCCACACACAAATTCATTCTTTTAATAATGTAACCAAGTTGGATTGTTGATCGTAGAGTAGTTCAATTGGCAATTTTTTGAAGATTCACCATACTATTTTTATAAACTCTAAATTTATTTACATTCCTACCAACCATGTATAAAACTTCTCCTTTGTCCATATCAAAAACACTTGTTTTTTAAAACTTTTTTATAATAATCACTGTAACTTGGTGAGTTAATTCAGCATGGTTTTAATTTGCATCTTGTTAATGATTAGAGATGCTAAGCACTTTTTCAAGCAACTGTTGGTCATTTACATGTTTATTGACATAACTGTTATATGTTGTCCATTTTTAAATAAAATTATTTGATTTTTCATTATTGAATTGAGTTCCTTATATTTTTGAATACTAATTCTTTCGCAAATATACATTTTTCTAAATTTTTCACTCATTTTATAGGTTGTCTCTATACTCCAGTGATTGATCTGTTTGCTGCACAGAGGGATTTCAGTTCCCTGCAATCCCATTGCCCATTTTTGCTTTAGTTTCCTGTGTTTTTCTCGTCTTCTATAAAAAAAAAAAAAAAAAAAAAAAAAAAAAAAAAAAAAAAACATTTGTATATCCCGAAGCATGTATCCTGCTATGTTTTTTTCTACTAATTTCAGTTTTTTATATTTCAAATTTGATTATTTTGTCATTTGATTCTAATTTACTGATTTTTTTGACTGGTGAGAAACATATATTATCATCATTTTCCCTCTGGATAAGCAATTTTCAAATAATTTACTGAGAGACTTTTCATTCTCAATATATGTTCATAATACCTTCATTCAACTTCTTTCAACAATGTTTTAATTTTTATTTTAGAGATCTTTCGCTTCCAAATTTATCCTTCCCTGGGTGGTTATGTAGCTCTGGTAAGTGGGATTATCTTCTTAACTTCTATTTTAGATAATTCATTATTTTCATAAAATACTATTACTGATATTTAAATATAGATTTTGTATCCTGAGATTTGACAGAATTCACTTTCAATTCTAATACAATTGAGGGGTGCTTTGATATACATATATATATATATATATATATATATATATATGCATATATTATCTATCATATATGTGTGTGTATTCTTCAAACAGTGACAGTTTGATTTTTTTCCATTCTGAATGTCTTTAATATCTTTCTCTTTCTGCTTGCTTTGATTAACTCTTCCAGCAGTGAATAAAACTGGTGAAAATGTATTTAGTGCTTCAAAATATGTTCCTTGTTTTGTTTTGTTTTTCAAAGCACGGTGTGAACACAGTCCCACACCACTGCAAATTATGCAGCTGAGTTTCCAGCATATGGGGCATCACAGGGGTCAGCACATCTGGAGTGCAGGGGAAAAGCCTTACCCGGGGAAAACCACCTTCCTGATCACGGTATCTCCCCACCAGGAAAGTATTTATGCTATTACTTTTATGATATTCATGTGAGCATTTTATAATAATGTTATTGGTTTACATGTTTACCACACATAATGTTATTGTAGAATAAACTCCTTTGTGTTATTCAAGTAACTTTACTGCAGAACAGTATGTTAATCTGTGTTGTTTCAGTTGTGTGGACTGATTCCTTTAACTGGCCACATGAGGTGCCTGAAAGACACCATCTCAGTTCTTTGTACAAAGCATTGACTCAAAATAACAAAATTATATAATGATATATTTCTAAGATTATTAAATACTGCACTAATTTTTTTTAAGATTTTTGAGAATAACTTTGTTAATTTTATAAGTATAAAATACTATGAACTGTTATTTAGTTGTTCTTAAATTTGAACAAACCCTGTGGTATGAAACATTACAAGTGACCAAACTCTGGTCACACAGGTCAGTGACCTTCAGACACTTCAATGGATGGCTAAAAGAACTGTATTTGAGGAATCTGACAGTGACAGAAATATATTTCTCACAATTCAAGACGGTGAAATTTCAAATCAAGGTGTTAGAAGGCTCTCCATTTTTTGAAGACTTTTCTTTCTGCTTCTAAGGCGATACCTTAGACATTTTCTGATGGGGAAGACTGCTGTGTTCTCGAGTGGTAGGAGGGTTGGAGAAGATTAAAAAAAAAAAAAAAAAACTCTAATGCTATGTGAATTCTTTTTCATGAAGCCTGAATGTAATCAGGACTCACGGATCTCATAAACTTATGAATTATTGATAGGCTTACCTCATAATATTATTATATTAGCTATTTAATCTAAATAAGTGAATTTTGGAAGACTAATTTATCTTCAATGTTATTATAAAAATTGTAATACTTTTATGAAGGCTAATTTGAAGTAGGTATTAATGCTATTCTTTTTTTTTTTTTTTTTGGCTTTTTCATTTTTATTGGTACCAGGGAGGACTAAGGATATATAGTTCAGTAGTACAGGTGTCTGCCTGGCAATCACAGAGTCCTGAGTTCAATTCCTGGTATTAAAAAAAAGAAAATTTACTACTCATAAACTTCTGATGTTTAATGATATATAAGTAGATTTGAAAATTATTCAAAAATATAATTTCTGAATACCTCACAAAATTAGTGTAATAGATACTTTCTTCTTATTACATAACATTGTACAATGTTGTTGAATTTATAGTAATTTTAAAATATTGACTAAAATTAAATAAATGAACTAGTAAATACAGTATTCGTCTTTGAACTTGATGAGTCAATTTTACAGGAATATTTTCCAATGAAAATGTATTCAACATTTGAAAATGTATGAGTTTAGAAAATGAATGAAAATTTATTCCCCAGAGTTATTATGTTTCATTAATAAACTTCAATTTTTGTGAATTGAATCATCTGCATATCAGTTTCATAAATTTTAATCTTATTATCATCAAAGTTGTGGTTTATTTCTATAATAGAAAAGAACTAGTATGTTAGAAGAATTGAATATAAAATTATAATATTGGAAATTAAAATTTCTGAGAATATCCACCCACTACACAAAATACACACTATAAATTAGTTAACTTTATTTCTCCCTATCTGTTTTAGTCAAAAGAACAGGGATCTGAAATCAAAATACCTATGTTTGAATCTTCCGTATACAAACTTGTAGATTTCAATAATCTGTCTCCTAATCTCAGAACTACTGTCACAATCTATTTAAATGAGTGCAGTCGTTCTATAAGTCTCAAAGTTTGATATGGGAATAATTAACATGGCGTTTATGAAAGTGGTGTATTTCTTATGATAGAGTTAGTGTTCAATAAATATATTTATTATTCCCATTTGTTTCATTCACTACCAAAAGAGAATTAAGCTCATATTTGTCTACTCTACATCACTGACATTGTCTAATATGTGTTAAATTAGTCCATACCATTCTAAAACATATTGCAAGCATGGATACTTTCAATATATATCGTATCTTTAATATTAGCAGCATATTAGAGTTTCATACTTTCACTGATATAATAGATATCTCATAAATGTGGCAATAAATGCGCATTTTAACAGAGACTCTTAGCTGTAAAATAATGTGCAACTTTTGCAACATACCAAAAATTTGACTTTTAAAAACATCTCTTGTAAAAAATACATACTCGCATAAGTAGTTTATCTTAAAATGTTGATGGTGCTCTCTCAGTGAAAAATATTGTTTGTGATATGTAGATTTGATTGGCAAGGTAAAGCATTTTTGTTTCACTTTCATACTTTCTTCTTTGCAGAAGTAAAGAAATGTTTGTATTTGAATTAGAAAAGATGTAAAATAATCAAATATTTACTATTTTGATTTGCTTTTCAAGAGATGATGTCAATATTTTGGAATACACTTTTTTGTATGTTGATCACCCATAGTTTTTTTTATTTTATATAATATTGCTATAAAATTCATAGTTTACAAGATTTTGAAACTGTGTTACAATAGACATGGATGAGAGTTCATCACTGTAGTATGATTCTAATAACACATTTGGGGGAATAGCAAGAAGGGGGATAGTTGAGTCAACTGGAGCTTCTATTTTAGCCTTTTGAGGAATCTCCGTACTGATTTCCACAGTGGTTGTACCAGTCTACAGTTGCGCCAACAGTGCAGAAGAGCTCTTGTTTCCCAAAACCTGCCTGCAAAATTTATTGGTTGATTTCTCAGTAATTTCCTTTCTGGAGTAAGATTGGATGTTAGTGTTCTTCTAATTTGCATCTCTCGAATGAACAGTGGTATGAAGCATTTTTTTTTTTTTAGATATTTGTTTGCAGTTTTTATGTCTTCATCTGAGAAGTGTCTATTCATTTTAGATGCCCAACTTTGGACTGTGTCTTCAAAATTGGAAAGCTTTATTTTTATTAGATTGTATATATTCTAGACATTAGCCCTTTGAGGAACAGGTAGTGAAATCTTTTTCCCACTCTTTGCTTTTCTGTTAACTCTCCTGATGATTTCATTTACTGTATAAAAGCCTTTTAATAAGATGAGATCCTGGTTGTTGACTCTTGTAGTATTTCCTGTAGTTGGAGTTTTGTTCATCAAATTGTTTCTATACAAGTGTCTTCAACAGTTCTACCTATCCTATTTTTTCAGCATATTTACTGTTTCTGTTTTAATAATTAGATATTTGACTCAGTTTTATTTTAGCTTAGTGCATGTAGACAAAATTTGTATTTATCCTGTGGAAAGCCAGTTTTTCCAGCACAATTTATTAAAGAGGCTATCTTTTTTTTTTAGTGAGAATCCTTGAGCCCTTTGTCTCAGGTAAGATGACAGTGTGTGTGTTTGAAGTTGGTTTTGCATTTTCTAATCTATTATATTCATCCTCTAGTGTTTTCTTTCTTTTTTTTTTTTTTTTTTGCAAATACCATCTTGTTTTCATCATAGTAGGTTTGCACTATAGTTTAAAATCAGAGATTTTGATGGCTCCTGACTTGTCTTTGATCCTCAAAACTGCTTTTAGCATTCTAGGCTTCTTCTGGTTCCAAATAAGTTTCACTTCTGTTTTCACTCATTCTGTGAGATATGCTATTGGTATTTTGTTCAAGATTACATTAAATATGTATAACAATTTTTAAAGTATGGACATTTGCACTACGTTAATACTTCCTACCCAAGAGCAAGAGTTATCTTTTCATTTTCTGATATCCTCTTTATCTCCATTTTCAGAGTACCAATTTTCAATGGAAAAGTCATTTATTTCCTTTGTTAGACTGAGCCCCAAGTGTTTCATTTTCTTCCATCCTATAATGAAAGGTATAGCTTTTCTAGTTTCTCTCAGTGGATTTGTTGTTTACAGAAACACTTCTGATTTTTGATGGCTGATATTGTATCTTGCTGCACGACTAAATTTGTTTATTATATCTAGCAGTCTTTGTGGATTTTTTTTTTATTTAAGAGGAAAAATAGAAAAACACAAAACAAACCAAAGCGGTGTAAGGGTACCCGCAATACAGAACTACAAAACAAAACAAAACAAAACAAAACAAAAAACCATAACAGTAAGAAATTACCTGCTAGTAGATTACACACTATTTTCTTGAAAATAGTTCCTCAAATCACAGTATCAAAGAATACAAGGTGGACATTCAAACAGGTAGACTGAATTTTGGGGTCTTCATACGCATTAGTGAAATAAATCAATGTCACATGTGTAAATACTGTATTGTCTCCCTAGTGCAAGAGACTGAAAGCTTAAATATGACCCAAAATCTTCAACAAATATTGTACAACAATAAGAAATTGCTCAAAGAGGAAAATAACTGGGATACTTGAAAGGAGGAAAGAAGGAAAGGAAAAGGAAAAAGACATAAAATAGCTAAAATGACTATATTACTAATTGTATTCCTGGAACAGAAAAATTAATGCTCATGTGATTAGATCAATTTTACATGTCACTATCTGACAATATAAGCAACTCTTTTAAAGGTAATATGCAATATTACAACCATTGTTTAATTTCTGTCATGTTTTGTACACATATACTGTTGTTTTGGGTTTGTTGCTGTAGTTTGTTGGTTTGATTGTTTTGCTCTTTTCTGTTTGTTTTTTCTCTTAAATGAATTAAAAAAGAATTGGGGGGTCTTCTGTGTAAAGTATCATGTCATCAATAAATTATGATAATTTAACTTATTTTTCTATCACTTGTCTAATTGCATTGGCTAAGGTTTCTAGAACTATACTGAATAGTAGTTGTGACAGTTGACATTATCATCTTGTTCCTGATTTTAGAATGAAAGATTTCCGTTTTGCCAATTTAGTATTCTGTTGGCCATTGATATGTCATGGATAGTTTTCATCAGATTGACATAAATAGCATCTATTGCATTATATGCAGGTTTTTACTCTTGAATGGATTTTGGACTTTGTCAAATACTTTTTTCTGTAGCTATTAAAATCATTATGTGATTTTGTATTTGGCTCTGCAGTTATGGTATGATACATTTATTGATTTGTGTATTTTGAATCACACCTGA